GAAACAGATCAGCAGCAACATGAAACAGATCAGCAGCAACATGAAACTGATGTTTTTTAGTTGATATTTTTCTTAATTCATATCTTAGATCTTATTACAGTTTTTCTTTTACATTTTGTTGTCTGTAACTGGGACCCTGTGTACAAAGTACATAATTTCATCCCAGTTCAGTATTTATTCAACGTTTTACTTTTTTAACTTTAAAAATAAATCAAGTCCTTATCAGCATGAATAAAGTGATGTGGAACATGTTGCATCTTACCGAGCACAGAAGTTGCAGCGTTGTGCTGCTCTGTGAGGTGCAGCTGGGCTGTGATGGAGCTCTGTCAGGTGTAGACTCCTCTGATGGAGCAGGAGCAGGAGCCGGGAGGCTTGGAGGGTTTAATGTGGAGTTTAGAGATGAACTGTCACGCGCTGAAATACGTTCTGGATAAAATACAGTGAGAAACGGGACCGGAGGACAGTTAGCGTTTATGCAAATTAGCTTAGCATCGTAGCACCGATGTTGTCCTATTATGGCGTCAGCCTCTTTTGTTAGTTAAAAATATGTTCAGAACCGATGGGATGAGTAACTTAAAATATGTTTAAAGTTAGAAAACACTCACCATCTTCTATAAATGATTCAAGTAGAGCAGTAGTCGTGTCCAAACCACCCTCCAATCCTCCATCTAGCTCGCTTTGACTTTTGTCATCGGCCACCAAGCACAACAACACCTGCACTTCTGCATTTGACCACGGCTTTGATATTATTGTTTTTATATAGCTTCAAAATACTAAAAGATACGCTCCTCGAGTTATTGCTAATGGCAAGCGGGAGAGAAAAAAATGGTGGATCGGGTTGTTTAGAAAGACTCCACAGACTCCTCCCCCCGACCAATCAGTGACCGACAGTGTTTCTGACGTCACAGCGCGGCTCGCTTGGACCCCTTGAGAAGCCGGGCCAGAATTTAGCGAGGCGAGCCGGTTCCAGGAACAGTGGAAAGACCTCAAACGCGCGTGAAGCGG